GTTGTAGATGTGGTTGTGAGTGTCTCTGAAGCCCCTGATGGCAATGCTTTCCCTATAGCTGGAGCACTCACTGGTGAAGATTCTTCTTTTTCTGCTTTAACATGTATTTGAGGTGCTTCTTTTGGCTTGGGTAACTCCAGTGTACTGTCAGGACTGAGAGAGTTCTGATCACCGTCACTGTCATGGTTAGAAGAAATATTAATCATATCACCCTTTTCATGAAGAGTTTCCTGATGTTTTACCTCTTCCGATCCTGAACCATGACCACCTAATGATTGCTGTCGTTGTTTATGTAGTTGGTTTTCTCCATCTCGGATACCACCGCTATTACGCATATCTGTATTTTCTGGTTTCGGATACTTACCAGGAAACCCTTCCCAACTACTCACGTAAATATCGTAGTTCTTCTCCGTATTTGACTGACCACCTTCAGCCATGGTATACCCGCAGGTGCAGCACAGCACAACGGCCAACACACACATCACACGGCGCATCATCATCATGAGAGAGAGACAAGGGTTTGTTTCACGTAAAAACACTGATCTAGAAAGAAAGAAAATCAAAAAAGCAAAAAAGGAAATAAATGAAGTATCAAACATGTTAGAACACACAAATCGATTACCACTATGGGAACTCACATCGTGAAAGTAAAACCTACCAGTTAAAGAATGCAATACAGCATAATAACCTTAGTAAGAGTAAAAACAAAAAAAAGCCCACACTCACAAATATTTCAAAAAAGACTGAGCAAGCCAGCACAATCATCAAGCAAGAAACAGATATTAATCATTAGCCCAATTTACCAAGTAAACACAGAAAAATACACCAACTATGGGTGTAAGTCTATATATGTGTGTATATATACGCAATTATAAATATAAATTCATCTGTTATTATAATTTCCTTTCCTCTCACTTCAAAAAGCAGTTCATCATCATCATTATCACAGCGCAAGCCCACACATACACACAGAGAGAGAGAGAGTCTCCAAGAACACACACACACACAATAAAGTAGCAATAATAATTATTATAGGATAAACATAGAGAGAGCAAAAACACACACAAAACACATTAACATTATGAAACAAAACAAGAAATCCCAACAGGTGGAAGATTAGTTAAACTGTAGGAATGCATGCAAAGAAGAAAAGAGAAAACAAAGGATGACCTGAGTCACACAACCACACCACACTATTACAATCAGCACACAAGAATACAGGACAGTGTAACCACAATCAGTAGTGGTACACGCACCCACACAGAACTGCTGATACTGCTGCTGCTGTCTGCATCACCCTTCTTGTTGTTTGTGAGTTCAGGAGGAAGTGTTGTTGTTGTGGTTGTGTTGGTGGTGGTGGTAGTTGATTCTTCATTACTGGTTGTGTTGACATTGTCCCTCATTGCATCACCTTCTGTAGGTGGAGGTGAAGTTTCTGAAGTAGACTGAACACCATTTCCCTCTGCTTGTTGATTCACGTTATTCTCTTCATTCCCTGTAGTGCCCACTTCATTAGTTGAAGATGCTTCAGTTCTCCCTGCATTCTCAGTCCTCTCTCCTTGTGGGTGAGATTCCTTTTGCTCTTCTGTTTTCTCAGCAGCAGTTTGGCTTCCCTTCCCTCGTCCATCAGCTGTAGAGCCATCCTCTTCCCGTACCTCAGGAACCGACGCTCCTTCTTCATTCTCGGTGTGAACATTACCACCTGGTCCAGCCTCACGTGATGGAGAAAGAATTTCAACACCAACACCTCGACGCTCTTCAGAAGAAGTAGGAACACCAGGTGTTTCAGTATCGACACCTGGCTTTTTGTCATGATTACCTGTGTCTTCTTGGACTTGTTCTTCTTCCGTTCCTGGTTCGGTGAGTTCATTTTTCGTACCGCTACTAACACTTCCCTCTTCTCGATGGTCTCCATTTGTGTTGATCACTCGACTAAGCAGCTTTTCAAGTTCCTGTCGTGGACCAGGGTTAAAATGATCATCATTACCTCTACCACCACCACTTTCTAAACACTGAGAATTACCATCCCCACCAGGTGGATCAGGTGGACAGGGAGAAGATGCAGGAAGCACAACACCAGAAGCAGGTGGACCTCCTGGAGGAATTTCCTCAGGTTTATCCTCAAGATCTTGACCTTTATCAGCAGCTACTACATAACTGCAGACACAACACAGTGCAATAGTGAGAACACAGAACGCTTGGCGTGCTGACATCATTACTTTTCCCCGTTGGTGTTACTATCTCTAATTGGTGATCTAAACAAGAAAAAACAGAAAGAGACAACGAAAACACAAATCAAGACAAAGACACATAAAGAGAACAAAACGAAAATGGTAATAGCAAACTAAACATAACAGAAAACTGCAAACATCACTCAGATAGTGCTTCAAATGAAAGAAACAAGCACACAATACCCATTAATAAACAGATAAGCCCAATTAACCCCTCAAAAATGAAAAAAAGAAATCAAGAAAACAACTATCGGGAGCAAGCACAGAAATAAATACCCCTTTCACTTTCAGTAGAACCATGTACAAAATCATAAAAATATATATGAATTCCTTTTTATTTCCTCTCTGCACAAAACAATTTAACGCATCATTTAAACCGAAAGCACACTGCGCCCAAACAAAAAAATGTTTGAAAAAACAAATTGAGAGAAACACCAACCGCAGAAACAATAGCACAACTCTCGAAGTATGCTGCTGTGTTCAAGCACATACGAATACCAATTATATTCATTATTATTTTTTCCTCTTCTACGAAAAGGCAATCACTAACACACTGCGGGGCAAAAGCACACAACGACCCAGCAAACCATAAGCAAACAAAGAATCATTGACCATTAGCCCAACGTATTCAGTAAACACAGAAATATACACCAACTATGGGTGTAAGTCTTTATGTGTGTATATACACGCAATTATAAATATAAATTCATCTGTTATTATTATTTCTTTTTCCCACTGTAAAAAACAGTTCATTATTATCACAGTGCGAGCCCAGGTGCACACAGAGAGAGTCTCCAAGAACACACACACACACACAATGGAGTAGCAATAATAATAATTATAGGATAAACACAGAGAGAGCAAAAACACACAAAACACATTAACATTAAGAAACAAAAAAAGAAAAGATAATCCCAAGAGGTGGAAGATTAGTTACACTGTAGGGATGTATGCAAGAAAAAGAAAAGAAAACAAAGGATGACCTGAGTCACACCACCACTACACATAATCAGCACACAAGAATACAGGCCAGTGTAACCACAATCAGTAGTGGCACACGCACCCACACAGAACTGCTGATACTGCTGCTGCTGTCT